TTACACTAGTTAACTCACACTCACTCTGTTTCATATAAAAATATCAATTTATATTTTTTTTTTGGTTTTAAAAAAGCATATTGTTTTACAATTCCATAAAAAAATTTCATCCATTTTAAATTTACCATTAATTTAAAGCTAATAAAACTTTAATCTAATATAATTATCATTTAATTTGAGTGTGTATTAGATAAAAACATATTTGCATGTTTCAAAAGGGTTTTAAACTATGTACAATGCATTCAAACGATCCTCATTATTCCATCAAGTGGACTTTCCTACAAAAGACTGGTATAAAATGATAAATATTTGTAGTTCACTCAAAACATCTCATAAATGAGAAGACAAAAGCCACGGAATGACTGTTTTAGATGACATACACAATATAATCTATCTTAAAACAACATTTTGATTCACTGATTTATAAATCAACGAGAACTCAACTCCGTGAAGACATTGCTCATTGACATTGTACCATCTTCAGATAGGGATTGACTTCCAGTCAAAGCAAGAGCTTTAGGTAAAGGAATGGTGATAGTATCACTGCCAAACCAAACTATTACCGAGCTCATGGTTGGTCTCTTTGCTGCATTATCTTGAACACACAACAAACCAATCTGGATCATCTTAATGATCTCGTTTATCGGATCCTCCATCAGTAAAGGATCAATTATAATTTCAGGCTTTCCTTCAACCAATCTCTTCCATGCCTGCACCAAGAAAGTATATGTTTTACATTCTGTACAGAGAGGCTTGAAGATAAAAGAAAATGGAGGGAAAAATCGTACAAAAGCTGCAATTCCTTCTCCTTCAAAGCTATTGTTTCTTTCCCCACTTATCATCTCTAGAAGCATAACACCGAAGCTATATACATCAGATTTAGCTGAGATTTGCCCGTGATTCAGGTACTCAGGAGCCATATATCCACTACATAGATGCAAATTAATTCATGAATGTGTGATCCATATATATATATGTGTCTTCAAGGTTATTTGATATGTTCTTACCGGGTTCCAGCTATACGTCTTGTTTCAGCTCGAGTCTCATCAGCGTCGAACAACCTGGCGGTCCCAAAGTCTGCAACTTTGGGGTTCATCTCTGCATCTAACAAGATGTTGCTAGCCTTCAAGTCTCGGTGAATAATCTTCAACTGTGAATCTTCATGAAGATAAAGAAGACCTCGAGCAATGCCTTCTATAATTCTGAATCTCAGCTCCCATGTAAGAAGCGAACGCTTCTCTTTATCTGCAAAGCTCAAAAAGACATTTCTTTTTCTTAAAGTTTCTCAAACTTTCGTAAACGGTAGCTGTCGTTCGAAGGCTCACCGAAGATAAAGTGGTCAAGACTTGAATTAGGGACAAGCTCGTAGACAAGAATCTCTTCATCTCCTTCACTACAGAAACCAAGAAGCTTGACCAGATTCCTATGTTGCAGTCTTGTCAAGAGTGAAACCTCATTCTTAAACTCTTCATCTCCTTGTCCTGAACCTTTTGTTAATCTCTTCACCGCTACCTCTTGCCCGTTTGGTAATATCCCCTGTCATCGGTTATTAAGATCTATTACCCATATAAGAAGACCAAGATCAATAAATGACTAATTATTACATAAAAAATGTTATTAATACCTTATGGACGGTACCAAATCCACCTTGGCCAAGCTTATTTTCAGACGAGAAGTCATCGGTTGCCGTTAAGATCATACCAAAATCAAACCGTAGCATAAATTGACCATCAGTCTCAGAGTACTCTGCGCTACCAACTAATTAAAACAAAAAAAAGTCTTACTCTCTAGTATCTATATTATAAGGTTGATTGAAGCAAGAACAAGGTAAACTTACTATTGATTCTGTCGTATGATTGTCTCCTCCGAGCAAAGAACTTTATGAGACCGATAAATACCAAAATATTAATAAAAGTAAGAACCACAAATACCGCAATGATTACCCTGGACCTGTTGCTTTTTCCTGAATATTATTAACCCTCTTTAGTCTGCAAACCTCTTTATCATACTTACAAATTTTGGCAATGCTCGAAATCATTTGTAATACCTTTCTTGTCTGTTGCAGAGCTCCCCTTTTCCTGAGCCTGAGGTCGAGGAGGCGCAGGAACTCTAGTTACATTACCAAAAGCACCATGGAACGCATATGGATCCCACCTGAAAAAACAGCTCGGACGATTGACCTCGCCTCCTTGTCTTCCCCAAAACTGGGTTTTAAATAACGTCACGCATTCTCCCAAACATCTCTTGCAATCTTGAGAGGTTATGTCGGGTGTGCATTGCATCAGCATGTAAATATTTTCAAACTCCGTAAACTCGGCTTTCACAGCACCATAGTACTTAAGTACCGAGGAAGTTTCAGCATCCGTGGCAGCCTCTATAGTCCCGTTAACCATTCCATCCCACTGCTGTTCGAAAAGGGATATGTTTTTAGATGGCTCGATACTAAGTGGACTTGGGTATATAAGAGCTGGTCTAAGCTCGAGGTTCCCGAAAGTTGAGTGGTTTGAGGAACGTACAAGACAAGAAATTTGGTCTTCAACGTCTTTGTCCCACGTGTACGAATCCATGCGGTTTAAACAATTCGTTTGTATACCCCGAGTCGCGCTTTCGACACAATTCATACAAGCTTGTTGCTCGTAGCCTCTTGCGCAGAGGACAAGAGCGTAAGCTCTGTTGGGACTGTTGCCGAGTGAAGCGTTGTAGAATCCACCGTTGACAATAACTTTATCAGCAAGAGTAGAGAAGAGATTGTCGCGATTCTGAACGTAGGTGCTGTTAGCGTTGAAAAAGCTTCCGGCACACCCGACCGCATTAACGACTTCGAGGTTTCCAAGGACAAGAAGAAGAGCAGAAGCGAGGAATATCATCCAAGCAGGGCAGTTCCCCATTTTTTTTTATTAATGATAACGTCTTTTATTTATTTTCCTTCTACTAATGCCAGCAAGTAATATATAGATTTTAAAGCTTCGTCATATTTATATAGGTGTTAACTGTTATGTGAAAACGAGTAATGCTGGACTTCCTAAGTCTAAGAAATTGTGTATTGGTTTTTCTTTTTTATTTTTATTTTGGGTCAAAGAAATGTGATCGTTGGTCGTTGGTCGTTGGCTGCTTGGATGTGATTTTTATATTTTGCGAGGGTCAGCCTGCAATCCATTTAATGGATAAATGAATATGAATATGTATGAATTGCAGTTAGAACATTACTAAAAATCATTCTGATCCTGTGTTACTCATCTTCTTAATTAGTTACCTTCTTGTGTTATGTTCATTAGACACTACAAGAAAACAGGCGGATTTCCGACGGAAATTCCGACGGTCAAGTTTTCCGTCAGAAATTTCCGTCGGTTTAACGACGGAATTGCGACCAAAYGCAAACCGTCGGAAATCCGTCGGTTATTTCCGACGGAATACCGACGGTTTTATCAACCGTTGGTATTCCGTCGGAAATCCGTCGTCTTGTACCGACGGATTTCCGACAAATATAAACCGTCGGTATATTCTGACGACTTTCCGACGGATTTCTGATGGAAATCGGATATTTCCGATGTCGGCAAAGTTTGATTGGTCAGCGCATACCGACGGAACATATTCCRTCGGAATTCCGTCRGAAATTTGATGTCGGCAAATTTTGAGTGGTTACCATTTCGTTAGCGGTGGCCGATGGGATTGGTGGGGTGTTATGTCGGAGTGTTGTGACGGAATTCCGACGGATTTGCGACGGAAATCCGTTCTATATAACCTGCGGCATTTCTGAT